ATTGGTTAGTTGATTGGTTGGTTGATTGAATAAGTGATGTATTAGGTGAATGATTGATTGATTGGTTGGTTAGTTAATTGAATTTTTAAAAAATGTACGAATGTTTTGTGTCAAAATTGAATGACAACCAACCAACCAACCAAAACCAATCAAAACCAACCACAATCACACACACACACACAACCAACCAATCAAACACACAACCAACCAATCACACACACACAACCAACTTTATCGGCAACGGCCAGAAGATAGTCGGCCATCTTGTTGAGATTGGGGGCTTTGCCGGTGTAGATGTACCTCAGTAACTCGGCCATTGCCTCGGGGTCAACGTCCGGGACATCCACTTTGTTCTGCTTCCGTTCTTTCATCTCGTGTTCAAACATGGCGTTGAAGACAGCCGACCGAGCTGGTGATTGATGTTTAAAACGTGAACTAAAGATCAGATGATGAGAATTATCATTAAAATGAGGATGATGATGAGTTAGACGATGATTAAGATTAATGATGATGATGATAGCAACAAAAACAGCATCACTATTTAAAGAACAACAATCAAACACCATAAACAAACATCACAAACAAACATCGCAAACAAACAAACATCACAAACAAACAAACACCACAAACAAACAAGCAAACACCACAAACGAACAAACTAACAAACCAGCAAACACCACAAACGAACAAACTAACAAACCAGCAAGAATAGCTTTATGAACGTGAAACATCCTCTCCCCGACACAGAGTGTGAAGTCGCTAAAGTTTGACCTTTCAAACAGCTGGCCCATGTCGTCGCTCAGCTGACACGAGGGTACTTTTACAGGGTTCAAACTTGATTGGCCAGTCAAATTAACCGTGTCACCGACTACACTGACCTATTTACATAATTAGTCATACGTGTCAATCATTATCTAATATGTGTACAGGACAGACAAACACAAACACACACACACATCTACAAACTTTCACACACCTCACAAAAGATAGTTAATTTATCATCTGGCAGCAGTCCATTAGACTCATCCATCAAGAAATCTCTTCTTATAAACTTCTTGAAACCCCAATCTTTGCCCTGGACAAACCTGTATGCCCTTTGGCTCTCTGCAGGGTGGTGGTGGGTTGGTTGGTTGTTTGTGTACGTGTGTGTGCGTACATGTGTGTCTGTGTACGTGCGTATGCATGTGTGGACATTTGTGTATGTTTGTGGACGTATGTGTGTGTGTGTAGTGTAAAACATCAATTAATAAGTGAACTTGTAGAGAACAACTAACAAACCAATCAATCAAGCAAGCAACAAATCAAACAAAAATCGGGCATAACTATCTCTAACCAACCATCCCTAATCAATCAATCAATCAATCAATTAATCAATCAATCAAGCAACCAACCAACCCATAGCCTTGGTCTCTTCCCTCTTAGAATTTAGAATGGAGAATTTAAACTTGGCCCTGACTTCCGATTTGTTGCACGCAACAAGCAGCAGGTACAAGGATAAATAATCCTTACTCTCCTCATCCAGTCCTTTTGGATTTACACGTAAACACCTGAAGAGGAGAATGTAATATGGTAAATTACTTTAATTCATGTCTAAATAACACCTATTACACTTACTTTACATATAAACATAACAAGATAGTTAGGAGTACAAGATGAAGATAGTGAAAGAAAATTAGATAAAATACAAATATCAAGCAATTCAATCAACAGTTTATTAGTGATTATTTACTAACCATTTTAATTTATCGCTGACCCCGGCGGAGAATGTGGAACTTTTTAGGACCTCGCCCATCTCTTCTCGACAGAAGCTAAAATTATTTATCGTCCATATGTACGAAAACTTTATCACTTTCACCTGGAGAATGTTAAATTTGGGAGTGAAATTTTTATTTAATTTTGAAGTTTTTTTTAGCAATCATTAACAATAATTTTTTTTTTAATTTAACAAAAATCAGCTCCCAGACACTACCTTCTAACTAATTAGTTAGGTTACTATTATATTATATTATATTATAGGATTGAGAAAATGGAAGCAATAATGAATATTGATAGTAATTAAGTTTATTTTTTTTTTATAAATTTACCAATCACCAATAATAAATTTTTATTTAAATCATAAAAAATTATCCCCCAAACACTAATCCCTAATTAATGGGATTACCAGGAGGGCAAAGAAAAACGTACTTGGGTATAGCACCAGCTTTCGGCCATTGGACACAAAAATTCCATCGGTGGTGGTGTGGGGGCCCGAGACAACATCATCGTTGTGTCCACTCGACTGTTATCACTGTTGCTCTCCATCATTGCAAGTCTAATTCTAGGAAGTTATTTTTAATAATTTTTAATTTATATGCATTGTATATAAATTGTATATAGCACATACATAATATATACTATATAGCATATATAATTGTATATACAAAAATTGTTTTTGATAATTTTGACACTTTTGCCATATCATGTGCATGTGGCCTGGGTTTCTTTTATCATCAACAGTATAAATATAAAAAAAAATAATAAAAATAAAATAACAGTACAGAAAAGAACTGATAAAATCACATTTTACACCAATTTAGTAATTAGACATAAAATAGTATATTTTATTTTACATTTTCCTTATTAATTCGTTAACATCCCCCATCTGTCCGGACCCTAACCAGAGCTTGTTGTTGACAAAAAAAGAACTTAAAGCGTTAAGTAAATTAATTAAATGTTAAAAGTTAAAGCATAAGCCATAAATAAATAAAAAGAAAAAACAAACAAAACAATGAAACAGCAATAAAAAATAAATTGAAACCAGATAACTAACCAGACTAATGTGTTTTAAAACCAATAGACTTTTTATTATTCGTGAATTTCTTGCAAAATAAACTAAATAATTTTAATAATTAATTTAATTAAGATTGCGTTAAAAATTTTCCGTGTCAGTTCGTCCACAAAAATTACATTCGCAGTTGCGTACTGTTTTTTTGTAATATGATTTTAAAATTTGTATAGCGCTTTTTAATAAACGAAAAAACAGCAAGCAATGACTTTTGGAGAATACGTAGCGAAACATACGCCTATCAAAATAACATTTTCGGTTCAGATACCCCAGTTCAACCTAATTTTACAACTTTTAAAGAGTATCCAGCTACACACAACCCGACTCACGTCACTTTGGAAATTGTCCAAATCCTGAGAGTCTAAGCACGCACCACACACAAACTTAACAAAATGGTCAATATTTAAAATATAATTACATAAAATAATCTATGAAAATAAAATTTTGCTGAACGATATTCAATAATGATTAATAAACTTACACCCCACACACACCACACACAGAAAAGAGAGAGAGAGAGAGAGAGAGAGAGAGAGAGAGAGAGAGAGAGAAAGAGAGATAGTGGTGTCCAATCAACCAAAAATGTCCTATTTCTTCTTGCTTATTCTCTTGTTGGATTTTGCAGTTTTAGATCCAACAATACTCTGGTTGGATTTTGCAGTTTTAGATCCAACAATATGGTCTATATCTATCGAAGCCAGAACCGAATCTGAAATCTCCTCACCATCATCATCATGACCGAGTTGACGATCATCATCATCATTATCATCATCATCGCTCTCTTCCGATAAATTAACTTCCTGTTGCACTTTAATGTAATTATTTAGGATTTTTGGGGTTTGTTTTTTCGTCTTTTTATTGACTGTTCGTTTACAGTTTGATTGGCCTAGTACAAAAATAAATTTTAAATAGATTATAAACAATAATTTATTATAAATTAATGAATAAATAATACTTAAAACCAAACAAATAAACGAATAACAACTCCAAATCAAAAACCAAAACAAAAGAAACTAACCTTCATTAAATGTAGTACCACTTTGTCGTGATGACGTCATTTTCAAGTTTAAAACTTGCCTCAATCTTTTACTTTTAATCTTTTTCCTCGAACCACTGCCACAACTACTACCACCGTAAGGAACTTTTTCAAAAAAATCCGTCATACCTTTTTGCTTGCTTGGACACTGAAACCAAAATTTAGAGCGAAAAATTTGTTTAAATGTACTTAACTATGATACATCATAAATCAGAGGTGGGCAAACTAGGCGGCCCGCGAAGCCATTTTACATATGCGGCCCTTCGAAGGTGAAATAGTTCTCAATGCGGCCCTAGCAGCAAAATGTTTGCCCAATGTTTGTCATATATTATTACAGTTGTTATAATTAATTGTCATAATTAATATAAATAATTAAATGTTGTGTTATTAAAGCTGGTTACCTTGCTAGATTGTAACTGTTTAATAAGCGGTATCATTAGGTCGTCTGTCTGCTGTTTAGACCAGGATAAAGTCATGAGCGCGTATCTGAATGAATTTTTACACTCATATTCATTCATTCGTTCGTTCGTTCATTCATATTTATTCAGTCGTTCATTCATTGACCCATTCGTTCGTTCGTTCGTTCGTCTTTAATTCTATATTTACTTTATTCTGTTTATTATCATTTAATTAAAAATCATTTTTCAAAAAAGGAAAGATTGATTAATTGATTAGTGACTGATTGATTGGTTGAATGATTGAATTAATGAATGATTGAATGAATGACAGATTGATCAAACGAGTGAATGACAGAACCTTTCCAACTCCTCAAACTGAGGAGTTCCCCATTCAAATTCTTCCATAGATTCGTCAACAACTGCATTGGTGTAAGCTTCGTAAACAGCTCTACTTGGAAAACCTTTAGAAAAAAAAGACTTCCAAGTAAAATTGAATTCAAACCTGAAATAAACCCGACTATAATAATATAATTTATGTACTTTTAATTAATATACATACTTATAATTATTATTATTTAGATGAATAAATATATATATACATATATATTAAGGAACTTGATACTTGAATTTGCCACCTTCATTTAAATGTATCTGCCTTAATTTGGTTTTCACTTTTGACTCTTTGGTGGCCTGCTGGCTTTTCTTCTGTTTCATTGCTTCAACCCACCATTGTCTATGAGGTTGAAATGAAACAAATGAGTTTAGACCAAATTTAACTAAACAAAAATTGAAAATTCAACAAAACCGATCTCAAAATTCGGAGGAAAAAAATCTACCCCATCACTAACTTAAAATTTTCGAGGCACTCCAAGCCCTGACCTTTGAACTCGTGAATTACCTCCATGGCGGTGATGGGGCCGACCCCTCTGACCCCCTCCGTGTAGTCACTACCGCACAGCATGCCTATGCAGATTAGCTGACACTGGTCCAACACTGTTAGTGTTGGCGGGTCAGTTTAAAAGTGGAATGAAATCAAAAAGCAAATTTAAATTAGTTTGAATTGCTTATTAAATATTCATTACCTTGAAATATATTTAGACCGATGAACGCCATCATTAATAAACTTCGTATATCAGATTTTAAAGAATATTTATACAATGTTTTCCGCAGTCGACAAAATAAATACACACACAGCGCAAAAAACGCACTCAATCTCTCCTCAATATCCCGACTCCTAAATATCTCCGCCACATCGCCACTGAAGAGATTCTTCACGACGGATCTGGCGCCAAAAAGAAACGAATCGCAATCGTCGGATATCGTTCCGTCGGTTTGGCCGGTTCGGTCCAGGAATGCACACTGCGCTTCCGCTTCTCCAGGACTGACGACAAAAGGGACGCCAAACAAACGTAAAAGATCCTGTGAAGAATCAATATATACCTTGATAGCGTAATGGTTAAAGGCGCCCGCATCTGTGATGGAGTTACCGGGTTCAAATTCAAGCAGAAACTACAGCTATCATAAATGTGTGTGATCTTATGATTTCTATGACCTGACCTGTGCCTCTGAGTTCATCTGGTCATTAATATTGGTGGCTAGCCTCTCTTGCTTGCCTCTATCTTCTCGCAACTTCAGCAGCTCACCCGACAACTTTTCCTCAATGGCTGAGAAGTTTATCTACGCCGTGTTTGTTCATTTGTAATCAATTGTGAGAGAATGCAATAAATAAATTAATAATATGGATAAAAAAATATGAATAAAAATTATATTTATGTGTAAAATCTTATTTTACAAAAAATATAAATAATTTCGGCGCGCATCGAATTACCACCATTATCATCATTACCATCATCATCATCATAACCATCATCATAACAATCATTATCCTCATCATAATCATCATCATCATCATCATCAACCCCAGTACTGACTTTATCACTGCCATCATCCGGGTGTGCCTTATCAAAGACATCATTTATCATCTCACGAACGTTGTTACACATCTCGTCATCGTCTTCGTCGTCATCGTCATCATCGTCGTCATCATTTTGAATGTCGTCTATATCTCTAATACCATCAGCGTTTGTTGAAAGATTATTACTAATAATGTTATTAGTATTAATATTACTGTTAGTAGTAGTAGTGGTAGTAGTAGTAGTAGTGGTAGTGGTAGTAGTAGTAGTGGTAGTAGCCGTAGTAGCAGCAGTAGTTGTTGTTGCATTTTTATTATGTTCGTTGCTATTATTATCATTTAGTAAGAGTTCTAAAAATAGAGATGAAGATTTAGACGTAGTTGTACGTGACGATGGTGAATTTGATGATGGTGATTGTGATGTGATAGTATGTGATATGGTTGAGGGTTGTGAAGATGGTGTATGTGGTGATGTGGTTGTACGTGATGATGGTGTATGTGTTTCCATTTGAGATGACGTCCATAATGAAGTAGCTATAGGTGTAGGGCTTTCAGTAGAAATTGCTGATTTTTTGTTCTTTGTAATTATCGAATTGTATAAACTATCTATGCTGGCTGCTTCCGCTGTTGCTACTTCCGCTTTCATATCTTTGGATTGCGACGTAGAAAAATCTGGAGAATGTAGAGTAAAAAAATTATTAGAGAAATTTGTATAAATGGTGGTACATCCTAACCCTTTTCCTTAATCCATTACCTTTATCGTCATCATCAGCAGCATCGTCATCTTCTTCATCTTCATCATTTTGTGCTTCTGCTCCACTAAATCTCCGTTTCCTAACTTTACTCTCCATATCACCGAAAGAAAATGGCCTAACGGACGATAAACTCCTCATATTGTTGAGAGGTAGCAGAAATTTTTCATTCATCTTATTCTCAATTTGCGAACTATAACAATCTTTGATGGAATTCGACTCCAGGACATATGGGACGAAATTCCTGGTCACATTGCTAACGTTGTTGTTATAGGAGAACGAGTTACACTTTTTAAGAGAATTTTTATGAGAGTCTTGGTCTATTTGATGTCTCTTGCCGCCGGCGGAAATCACGTGATCGTGTTTACGTTTGGCGTAGACGAAACGGACGTCGTCTCTGGAGGCGATGTGGCTGACGCCGTAAATCAGCTGACCGTCACAATCGAATTCAGTGGCCGTTCCTCTGTTCGAATCCTGGCGAACGCTCTCGATGTGCTTCGTTATTTTGTTGATGTTCATCAGACGACGGAGCTGGTAGTCGGAAAAATCGTCTGCTTTCTGTTTGTTTTTAAGTTTTTTAGCGGAAAATTTAAAAATGAATGTTTGCACTTTCTTGGACATAGTGATATATCATATCTAGCTACTAATACTACTACTACCGCATGTAGTAGTATTAGTAGCTAGATAACAATATCAAACCATAACAATACTAATAATTTCTACTACTATTACTAATATTATTAATGTCAATGATAGATGTAATGGTTAAGGCGCCGGTCAGTGCTGTTGGAGTAACCGGATTGAAATGCGGAGAGATCCTGCACCTGTCTTCACATACAATGTGTGTGTGTGGTGAACGGTGTATATCGTAATAGTAAATACCAACAATTACAATAGTAATACAAATAATAATAATAATAATAGCAACAACAATGATAGAAAGACCTTAGGAAATGATGAGATATGCTCCCAAGATGTCTGCTTACATTTGTCTTTGTACTCCAACAGCATCTCTAATTTTACTGCTATCGGTAAACTTTTGAAATCATCCGAATCGAAGTCAACTGTCGAGTTGAGTCGTTCAGAATGGATATTTCTACAATCCTCATCTTCGCCATGATTGGTATTATCGTTGATGTTGTTGTTGTTGTTGTTGATGTTGTTGTTGTTGATGATGTCGTTGCTGTCATCCTCACCCGTCGTCATCATCATCAGTGGATATTCAGTTGTTGGTAGTTTGAATATGTCATTGTCATCATCATTCTTATCATATCTCTTCTTCGAGATGGTTCCTAATTTTAAGAAATGAATGAAAGAATGAGAGTGAGTGAGTGAGTGAGTGAATAATTACAAACCTTTTTTAGTAATTTCCAAGTTTACATTTTGACCTGTGATATTACCCAGTGCATATTTCTCTAGCATTTTATTAAGCATTTTTTTCAGCGAATGTTTTGAACTTAAGTTCGCTTCTACTCTTCGTTTTTGCCTGGATGCCTTTGTGATCATGAAATAATTAAATATTAATTTTAAAAATAATACTGCAATATTATTAGCTATATAATAATCCTTTGTTCATTCATTCACTTTCATTCATTAATCAATTCATTTATTAGTTTATTAATCCATTCTTTCACTTACTGCTCGTCATTCATTCATTCATTCATTTATATGGCCACACTAACAATAGTTTGTTTCTTCAAAATAGGAACAGACCCATCGAAAACAAAGATAGGTTTTATACCAAAGAACAATAATTTACAAATTCTTTTGAAGAGACCAATGAGGTGGGCATTTCTGATTGGCTGCCCCTTATTATCCCTCATTCCTTTCAACAACTGGTGAAGCCATAAACTTACGTCTGTCGTCGTTTGGGGTGAAATATTATTATAAAATTATAAAATATTATTATTAAACTATAAAATATTGTAATCAAATTATGAAATATTATTATTAAATTATAAAATATTGTAATCAAATTATGAAATATTATTATTAAATTATGAAATATTAGTATTAATCAATTAATCAATTACATCAAGATCATATGTTCAGGTTTCAGTTTAGTAAACTTCAACAAAACAACACCAACCTATTATCACTTTTTTAATGTATAATTTTAATTTAATAACAAAAACTAGCTCTATCTAGTTAGTCTATTCTATAATAGAGTCTATATAATTATAATATATAGTTTTTATATACATATTCATATGACATATAGTAATATATAGTGAATGAATAACATTAAAAAATACTTAACGAAGAATAAGAAACAAATATAATATATCTTTCTCTCTATTCCTCTCTCCCTCCTCCTTCACTCAACGAATTAAATAATTATAATTATTATAACAATAATAAACTAAAAAAAAACTAACCCACGGCCAGCACTTTACCAGTCAGTGATTGACAAGAAACAGCTTTACCAGTTGGTTCTAATAGCTTCCATAAACCTTTAACTCCCATTATTATTTTTTACTAGTGTTTTAATAATTAATATATATTACAAAATATGTAAAATATAACTCAATTGTATTTCTTTTAATTTATACAGGTTTTTAGATAAATCTGAAATCATACACTTGACATTTTAGAATTTAAGATTTTAAAATTGTTAGTTTCAATATTAAACTCAGTTTACCAAAAGTAAACTGTAATAAATAAGTTATTGAAGTGTGCTGATTGTCCTTCATATATTTTTTTTATCAAAAATTACAAAATACTTTAATTTAATTTAATTTAATCAAAAAATGTTAGAATTGCACAGAACACGTATAGCAAAAGCATCATCAAAAGCTTAAACATCCTAAGCTTACAATTGTATGCCTTTGATGATTTTTTAAAACGATTTTCAAAGGTTTAATTGGTTCATTCACATACTTATAATTTTAAAATTAATATTTTATTTTATTATATATATATATATACCTATTTTTATTTATTTATATGGTTGCTTATAAGGATAATCATATACTTAAAAAACACGCAATTTATTTTGGCTTTCCATTAAAATATATGAAACTAATATTTAATAGTTTTAATCTAATTAACTTTTAAGCAAATAAACAATAATGTTGAATTTTTTCGGGCTCAATTGTTCAATATCTATTTAGTGTTTCAGAGGTTAATTAATTTGCAAACATTACTAAAATTACTTCTATTTTTGAATAATTTGCGATTTTTTAGAAGGTTAAGGAAGTTTTCCTTATTGAAACTTGAATTATAATATTATATGAAATAAAAATAAAATAAACCTCTTCAACAAACAATTCCATTTGACATTTTTATTGTTATTTATTTTGTTATTCTTCTTTTTTGCACTAACTCATCATCTTCCTTTTTCCATTGTTAGGTTTTCGTTGTCTTTGTTTTAATACTTAATTGTAATTAACTTCTTTTTACTTACCCTCTCTAATCTAATATCTTTTCTAATTGATTGATGCTAACTTGGTTTTTATTTATTTTTAATTAATTAATCAGGAAGAAATAAATAATTGTTTAAAAATAAAAAATGATTGAATGAAAATTAATTAATAAATATAAATTTAATAGCAATCCTTTAAACTTAAAAAATGTCCATTTATTTATTCATTAGATTTAGATTAGAAGATTTTTCAAAAGCCCATATGGATGAATCTTATTTCAAAACAAAAAAATGTATGTGATGTACAAATTTATTCATCTTTGTTGATATTTTTTTAAGATTTCTATAACTATTAGTATTTTTATCATTTTTATTTCAATAAAAAAAATTGTATATATATATATATATAATGATGATAAGATATATAATATAAATAAACACAATTGATTAAACTTCTACTCATCACTCCCAAGATAATCACTAACTACTCACTAATCCCTAAAAATAGGAAAAAAAATGTCCCCAACTCCAAGATCTTCAATAAGCAGCCAAAAGCTTCCAGTACAGTCTGGTATACTTCCCCGGCCAGCGACGATAATGATTGTCTGACGCCTGTAAACAATGCAACAACAACAACATCGAAACAACAACAGCAACAGTATAGTATTAGGAATAAAAATAAACAACAACTACTAACCCATGCTGCTACTGCTCATACTGCTTTAAATAGCTTTGATCAGGTTATTATTATTATTATTATTATTATGTTTGTTGTTATTGTTGTTGTTATTATTATGATTGTAACTTCCATTCAGCTGTCATTTTTGTTTCTTTGTCCTCTATATAGGGAGAGCATTGCTTCAGCTACAGTACAAATAACGATAACCGTAGAAGAACAACAAACAACAACAATATCAACAACAATAATAATTATACTTTTTATTATTATTTTCAATTATTTACAAATAATAACTTCCATATAAGGCCACAGGCTCGGCTGGTACCGGTAAGACAAGATGGTTCTTGGGTCTTCAGACTGAGTCGACGACCAATAAAACGATAGTCGGAGATATTGACCATCAGAAGGTTTATTGTTATTATTATTAATATCATAAGTATTATTATTATTAAAATTATAAGTATTATTATTATTATATTATTATTTTTATTATTCTCACATGCAGGTCAAGCAATGGATTGAGTTGTACAAGAAAAAGATAGCCAAGTTGAATCACCTGTTGGAATGTGAGCAGAAATGTTTGCAAGGTTATATGGGGGAAGGGGCCAATCAATCAATCAATCAATTAATCAATCAATCTCATCCATATCAGTCAATCAATCAATCAAACAAACAGACAAACAAACAGAGAGAAAAACAATCAATTAACCTTCTCTTCATTCACTCATTCATTAATTCGTTCGTTCGTTCGTTCATTTATTCATTCATTCAATCATTCATTCACTTACAGAGAAAACGAATGAATTCTTACAAATCGTGAAGGAGGCAGACTCGAACCAGGCGACCAGGATCAAATCCCTGTACGACCGGAAGACTAAGAAGATCACGGGCTCCATCTGGAACCTTCAAAAAAAATTGACATCCTGCCAGAATAAACTGAAGCAATTCCAGAAGGTTGAGGAGGAGTGTGGATTTAGGTTTTTTTTGGTTTTTGTTTTGCTCTTTTTCGTTCATTCGTTCGTTCGTCCATTCGTTCTTTCACTCGTTCATGCACTCGCTTCTCATTCGTTCGCTTACTCGTTCATCAAATTACTCGTTAATTTTTTGTCGTTTTGTGAGGTATTATCTTGTTTTATTATTATTATCTTATTACCTTGTTTTGGCTCTGAGGTGACGATGATGATGATGACGACGATGATGATAGTGATGATGAGGATGATGACGGTGGGGGTGGTGATGATGATTTTTTTTTATAATTTCAATTTTAGAATATTGGACAGGTGTGGAAGCCTCGATAACATAAACAACAAAATAGGTTTTACTGCTTAAATTTCATTCATTTTTTATTCGTTCATTTAATCATTCATTCATTCAATTATTAATTAATTCATTCATTCATTCACTCATTCATCCATTCATTCATTCAATTATTTATTTTTTTATTCATTCATTCATCCATTCATTTGTTCATTTAGAAACTCCAGTTAGTCAGACAGTCAAAAAAGTTTGCCTAACACTCCCGAGAAGGTGAATGAATAAATGAATGAAGGAGTGCATGGTGCATGAAGAAATGAGTGAGCAAAGAACCATGATCTCAACTTCTCAATAACTTTTCTCGTTTATTCACATTCATTCACTCATTCATTCATTCATCCAGTTCTAAATATAGGTCAGCGGAATTCCTCCCCTCCAAGAAGCATTCTTCCAAATCCTCCCCAGAGAAAACCAACATGAAAAAATCCTCAAAAATTAAAAAAAAATTTTCGCTAGGTGTCAGCGATGACGACGACGACAATGAAGTTGATAGCGGTCGCAAACGTGATGATGATAATGACGGAGGTGATGATAATGATGCAGAGGAGGAGGAGGAAGAGGATGACGACGTGGACGGTGACGATGAGTATGACGTCATGGAGGTTGAGTTGTCGGAAGATGAGGTGGCTGCCCTGTTCAGAGAGTTGGAGCAGGCTGTCAGTTCTAACAAGGAACTAGAGAGTATGGTTAAGGAGATACAGGTTGGTCGGTTGGTTGGTTGGCTGGTTGGTTAGTTGGTTGGTCGGTCGGTCGGTCGGTTGGTTGGTTGGTTGGTTGGTTGGTTGGCTGGTTGGCTGGCTGGCTGATTGGTTGCCTGGTTGTTTGGTTGTCTTGCTGGCTATTTGATTTTGTTTGATTTTATTTCATGCACAAACCTCAATCCACACACACACACACACACACACACACACACACACAAACAAACACAAACAAACACAAACAAACACAAACGAACAAACACAAACAAACACAAACAAACAAACACAAACAAACACACATACAAACACAGAGCCAAGTGAAACAGACCCATGAAGAGTGGCAGATGTTGCTGACCGAGACTCGCTACCATAGCGACCATCTCGAAGAGCAGATCAACGACCTGATGGAACTTCACCAACAGGAAGTCCTCAATTTGAAACAAGTTTGTATGTTTGTTTGTATGTTTGTTTGTATGTTTGTATGTTTGTTTGTTTGTATGCATGTTTGTTTGTGTTGGTTTGTTTGTTTGTTTGTTTGTGTTTGTATGTTCGTTTGTTTGTTTATTTACTTAGTTTTTTGATGGATGTATAGATGACTGAATGAATGAATAAATGAATGAATGAAGGAATGAATGAATGAAGGAATGAATGAATGAATGAAGGAATGAAGGAATGAATGAATGAATAAAGGAACTATCCAGTTTAGAAGATAAGCTGGAGTACCAGTTGGACGAACGTATGAGAGATTTGCTAGATCTAGTTGAAGCTTGTCAGACAAAGGTATCATTATCATTATCGCCACCACCATCGTCATCGTTATCATCATTCCAATCATCATCATCATCATTTCTATCATCATTTCTATCATCGTCATCACCATCATTCCTATCATCATCATTATTCCTATCATCACCATCATTCCTATCATCATCATCATTCCTATCATCACCATCATTCCTATCATCATCATCATTCCTATCATCATCATCATTCCTATCATCATCATCATTCCTATCATCATCATCACCATCGTCATCATCACAGATGGCGAAACTAGAGATTCAGCAGCAGCAGCTCCTGCCGATTGAAGCACTGGAGCAGTTCTCAATGAAAACGTGCGCTACAAAAATGGCAAACTTCCTTCTTTCAATCCTGGCCATCGTATTCATATTCCTATCTATGGACATCAACTCTTTCAGATCTCTACTTACGCATAGGTTGGTTGGTTGGCTGGTTGGTTGGTTGGCTGGTTGGTTGGTTGGCTGATTGGTTGACTGATGGTTGGCTGATTGGTTGGTTGGTTGGTTGGTTGGCTAGTTGATTGGTTGATTATTGGTTTTTGATTGGTAATAAAATATATTGTTATAACCGACCGTTAAACTTGTACGTGGATTCTTAACTCCTGAACAAATTTATTTCAGACAAGCAGTTATATTAGACAAACAGGCACGCACACACACACACACACTCACACACACACACACACTCAGATATAGGTACTGGATAGCTGGGTGTATCATGATGGCTTCTGTAATCATCTGGAAGCTTCTGCAGTGCCACTACGAAAGCCATGTGACGTCATCATCAACAACAACAACAACATCAACAACATCGTCATCGTTATCACCCTTATCACCATCATAGTTTCACTCATCATCGTCATCATCATAATCATCATCATTATCATCATCTTCATCATTATTATTGTTATTATTATCATCATCATTATTATTATATTATTATTATTATAGTTGATGTTATGTTGTTATTATTATTACTGTTGTTATTTGAAAAAAAAATCTAATTTTGCATAATTCTTTCCTCCATTTGCACTTTTTTTTCTGTCTGTCTATCATTCGTTTTTATGTCCTGACAAGTAAATATTATTTATTCTTTAATATTATTCATTATTATTATTCATAATTTTAATTTATATTATTTATATTAAATATTTAAACTCGAAACATTCCATGGAAATTGATTACAGGACGGTTGATAACTAATTAAAATTAACAGCCGTTTCAAAAGTGCTTCAATAGTTATCGCGAAATTACACAATCACCAACAACAACATAAATAATATTAATATTATTTTTTTTAAAAATAATAATCCATATTCTATTAATAATTTTATTATTAACATTTTAATTAATTAAATATGTAAAATTAATTTTAATTTTATTTTATAACGATGCGTTTCGTTTTCCCTGCATTATACTTAACGCTTATAACATCTACCAAGTATAGATGATTATAATATATATATATATATATATATATATATATATATATATATATATATATATATATAGTAATAATAATAATTTTTGTTGTTATTATTATTTCTTTAGCTCTTTGAACCATCACAAGCATTTTAGTGTATTAGAGAAGTTATTCGATTCGACTGAGTTCATCGCTACTACAAATTTTACGGCTGTTATTAATATTATTACTTTGTTGTTGTTGTTGTTGTTTTATTGTTGTTATTGTCGTTGTTGCTGTACTGTTGGCATTTATTATTATTATTATCATTATTGTTGTTGTACTGTTGGCATTTATTATTATTGTTATTATTATTATTAATTATTTATATTATTACTGCTGCTAAAATATAATAAATTAATGAAAGAATATCAACTTTTTTTCAATTTTTCTAATGTTATTTCAAGTTCTTTAGTGTTATAAGTTATATTATAAAAACAATAATAATAATAATTATTATTATTATTATTAATGTTTTAACAAAATAAAAATTTCGAAGACCCCAAGAACTGTCAATCATTATTTATGATATAAATATATATGAATATATATATATATATATTGTGTGTGTGGTGTGTGTGTGTGTGTGCGCGTGTGGTGTGTGTGTGTGTACGTGTAGATAAGATTTCAAGAAGCATTTCAGAATATTTATGAATTTATCTAACAATGAGAAATAAGCGAAGGAAAAAGTCTATTATTTTTTTATTATTATTATTATTCTTATTATTATTATTACTTTATTTACCTATTATTATTATTTTATTTATTTACTTAATATTATTAAAAAATCATTTTATCATACCGAACGAAATTAAGAAGTCGATTGTTAAATATTATTATATATTAATGATAACATTAATAAATAATAATAACAATAATATTTATTATAATAAAACGAAATTTAAACTTATTTATTCATTCATTTATTTACTTTTAAAAAATTGATAAAAATCAGGCGAAACAGAACTTCTTTGAGTAACTTATGTACATGTGAGGAGTTAGAGAGAGAGAAAGTGGGAAAAAGAGAAAGAGAGTGATAGAGAGAAAGTAAGAGAGAAATAGAGAGAAAGTAAGAGAGAGAGACAGAGATTCATGTTCATACAGGTTCATGTGAGAAGAGAGAGAGAGAGATAGTGAGGAAAAGAGAGAAAGAGAAAGTAAGAGAGGGATAAAGAGAAAGCAAGAGAGAGAGTGAGAGAGAGATACAGAGAAAGTAAGCAACATAGCGAGAGAGTGAGAGATTATAGTTTTACAATGCATGTTTATTAAGACTTGCGTTTCAATTATTTTTTTCTAAAATTAAACATGGTTCAGTTTAAATTCTTTCATATTTATTTTTATTATTATTTCTAATATTATTATCGTGAGTGTTTTTATTATTGTTGATATTATTATTGTTTTTTTATTTTTATTATTTTTTTATTATGAAATAATAATTTAAAATTAAATATTTAAAGCATTTTAAACTGCTAACCATTGCACACATATGCACACATACATACAAACATACATACACACATACATACAAACTTACATACATACATACATGCATGCATATAAAAACACATACAAATACACATACCTGCACATACATACATACATACATACATACATACATACATACATACAAGCTAAAAATATTTATCACAGTATACAACAACATTTGTCCGATTTTGAAGAGGATGATGACGATGAAGCTGTCGTCGTTGTTGTTGTTGTTGTTGTTGTTGATGTTATTGCTGTTGTGGGCTTTTTCAACGCCGACGTTAATGGCTTGTTGTTTTTTATTATTAACTTATTATTATTACTATTGTTGTTGTTGTTGTTGTAGGCATTTAATATTTTGTCTTCATCATCGTCGTTGTTGCTATTGTTATTATTGTTGTTGTTATTGTTATTGTTGTTGTTGTTGTTAAGGCTCTGGTATGATTGGCGGGTGTCGTTGCTTAGCAACTCGAACGCGTCACTTTTAACGTCTATGAAGTCATCGTGATTATGTGGACTTAGTTTGATGTGTTGTTGCTGTTGTTGGCGGTTTGGCGATGTTGTTGTTGTTGTGGTGGTTGTCGCGACGACCTCTGTTGTCGTTATTGAAGGGTTTAATTGTTGTTGCTGCTGTTGTTGTTGTTGCTGCTGTTGTTGTTGTTGCTGTTGTTGTTGTTGTTTGCGTTTCTTACTGCCACGATCCTGTCATATTATTGTTTTATTATTATTATTCATAACAATATTCTAATGTGTTTGTATGTGATAAAGTGTGTGCGTGTGTGTATGTGTGTGCGTGTGCACTTGTGTGTGCGCGAGTGATTTATCTAGAGTCGCCTCAGCAGTACAATAATCTGTCTTTGGATAAATTAAAAAGTTCATTTTCCTTAGTGGAGGAAATGGGGTGAGATGACGTCATCGTCATCATCTCCGTTTAATGTTTATATAGATGCACGTGTGTGTATTTGTATATGTGTTTGTGTGTGTATGTGTTTGTATGCGTGTGCGTGCGTGTGTGTGTGTGTGTTACTAATCACACGAATGTTTGCTCAGCTCTGCCTCGCTGTGTTGCCTCGAAATGTTTTCTTTTTTGTCACATTTGATTTAGGGTCCATAGCTGTTGACCGAAAATAACAATAAAAATATCAATAATAATAACAATAATAATAATAATAGGATTAATAACAATAATAATAATAACGCCTATACACTCAGTCGTACGCACATTTAGATGGAGGTATGACGGGAACGAAGATGAAAATATAAAATGAGAGAGAGAAAGAACAAAAAAAGAGATAGAGAAGAGAGAGAAAGAAAGAAATAGAGTGAGTGAAAAAAAATGAAAGAGAAAAGGAAGAGAGAAAAAGAGAGAAAGTGAGAGTTAAAATTAATGGAGTCGATTGATATAACGTAGCAGAGAGATATATAAAGAAGAATATATACAAAGCTAATGTGATAAATTTATAAATTATTCTACGCGTCATAAATAATCACACTTACAAATAAACACACACACACACATACATACATATTCACATATATACATACATACATCTATACCTACAAACAAACAAACCAATAAACACACATACACAAAGATTCATACAAACATACATAACATACACATAGACCCATACAAACATACATAAAAACGCAACAACAAAGTGATTTTTCAATTTGTATCAGGAACATAGGATGACAGCTGAGATTGCTAGAGAATTTTTTTTTGTATTTTGGTATTGGCATCTTGTGTGAATTGTATCATTTCGTTTGTATTATTTTGTATTGTTTTGTATTGTTTTGTATCTGTATTGTTTCGGGTAATTTTGTATGTTTTTTGTATAATGCTTCGCCTTTTTTATCTGTTGATTTTGTTGTTCGGGTTAATTAATTAATTAATTCTGGTTAAGTTTGTCTTCGCATCTTGTGTAGATTTTTTATGCGGGTTAAAAACATACATACAAACATACATACAAACAACAGCATACAAACATACATACAAACATACATACAAACAACAGCATACAAACATACATACAAACATACATACAAACAATAACATACAAACATACATACAAACAACAGCATACAAACATACATACAAACAACAGCATACAAACAACAACATACAAACGTACAAACAACAAACGAACCAACAAATAAGCAAAATCAAAATAGAGCACACCCACAACAAAACCATTGTCCGAAAAGTATTTATTTAGCGCTCAAGACATGTCTGGATTATGTAGCGCGCAATTTTTTCATATTTTAAGGCTTTTGGCGGGAAAATTTTAAAGGAAATTGATACAAATAACTCTTTTGACACTCGTTTAAACATTACATTTAAACTCTCCTCTTACTGTTTGTTCACACACACTCACACGCACGCACACAATGTCAACACATCACACAATCCATACAAAAATGACACACACCACACACACACACTACCCATATGTACACACCTCATACATGCAACACAAAACACACACACACAACTAAATGAATCGAACACGACACTAAACATTTCCGCCACTAACACGTTGATGATGATGATGATGAGAATGAGGAAGAGGACGACGATGACGATGACGACGACGACGATGATGATGATGACTTTTTTTTGGTTTCCTATAAAACGTTTCCCTGCATTAAAAGAACCAGCGTTTACTTACCAGACGCATTATGCCATCAGCGTTTACATGCGTGTGTGTATGTTTGTGCGTGTGTGTGTGTATGTGTCAGTGTGTGTGTGTCATTGTGTGTGTGTGTGCCAGTGTGTGTGTGTGTCAGTGTGTGTGTCAGTGTGTGTCAGTGTGTTTTTGCATTTCAACAGCGTATGTTTGCTTATATCTGTATGTGTTGTTTGCTTATGCTAGTCCTTTTTTGATAATAAATGTTTGTGTGTTTATGTGTTTGTCTATGTGTTTGCACGCGTCTGTCTGTGTTTGTTCATGTGTTTTTGTGTGTGTGTGTCTCTGTTTGTGTGTG